GGGCTTCTTGACCTCCTCAAGGAATTATTCCTTTTAATCCTTTTCAAGTACCTTTATTAAATACAATTGTATTATTATCTTCTGGAATTAGAGTAACTTGAGCTCATCAATCTATTTTAAGAAATAAATGGGGAAATGTAAGAAAATCATTATTTATAACGTGAATAATAGGATTATATTTTTTATCATTACAGGCTTTTGAATATTATATAGCAGGATTTAGAATTAGAGATTCAGTTTATGGCTCAACATTTTATATAGCTACTGGATTTCATGGATTTCATGTAATTGTTGGAACTTTGTTTTTATTTGTAATTTGAGTACGTGTTGAAAAAAATCATTTTTCTAGAAGACATCATTTTGGTTTTGAAGCTGCAGCTTGATATTGACATTTTGTAGATGTTGTATGATTATTTTTATTTTCAGTAGTTTATTGATGAGGTGCATAGAATAAAATAGAATTAATGTAGTATAAATGTACATTTAATTTCCAATTAAAAAGATATCTAATATGATATGATATATTAATATAACAAACGAATATAAGGAATACTAATAAAATAGTATATGATATATTAATATAATAATCTAATTTAATGAAATAATGTGGCGAATGATATATTATTGTGCATAAAATTTGCCGTGTTGAATGGCACCGTAGAACTATTCAAAATTTATGAACAGACATTAGTGATATTATAAAACTGTTGGTAATTATTCTTATGAAATTTCTTGTTTATTTACGTATTTTAAATCATGAACAACTGCAGTATTAAATCTGATATATTTTTCAAATGATCTACGAGAAACTGTAGCAATGATTAGCAACGGTGTGAGTTTCAATAACTGAAATTAATCAGCAAGTGTTATTTGCGTCGAGGCATTTATGTCTGCAGTCTCTAGTTTCTAATTATAAGTACAGTCAGCCAGTATTTTTTTTAGTTTCCATATAGTATTATATGCGTCATGAATAGTTAACAAAAGCGGGATTAAATTGGACTTTAATTGGATTTTATTGATTTATAAGCTTATCCATTCGCAATTTTTTCCTAAACATAAAATATTAAAACCTAATCTTAGTTTATGATATTTGTTAAGGGCGAATATTTTAAGCCAACATCAAAACTGGAACTACAAGTTTCTTGTTTTGTTCCGCATGTCTCTAATATACACCTGAAAATACCTTTATTTATTTGCAGATAACACTTTCAACGTAGTCGTTCAGGGTAAACAAATAAGTTCACCTCATTACAAGCAGCAGACAGACTACTTAGAAGAATGCACTAATCTATATTCAAATTTGGTTGTCACTGAGCTTGTAGGTTTTGATATGGGTGCTTAGAATTTTCCAAGCCTATCTAAGGAATCTAACAGTGATCTAGAGAAACTCGCTTCCTGATTCCTGTACTCTCTTTTGTGCCAAACCACTCTTTCTGGTGAAATATACTGGATGTTTAACAACGTCAAGTTTCTTCAACTCTGAATATCATGTATTATTATTATCTGTTTAACATTTTCAGTTTCATTTTCAGCAAATTTACTTCAAAAATTTGCTTAAACAAATATTCTGAGTTAATTTTTCATGATGAAGAAATAATACGAATTGTTCATTTAATGAGTGGGCTCAAGGTAGGTATTAGATGCAAAAGCACACATTAGGTGCAATAGCACAAAATGTTACAAAAATACTGAACTAGGAAACAATTAATGAAATAAATTACCCGACATAGAGAGATAACATCGATTAAAAAACTTTCATTTTATTTTAAAGATTAGTCGTAAAATATGGTAATTAAAGAAAGAATTTTAGGTGCCACTCGTATAATTTGTATCCAAAAATATGCAAATTCAAGTTACTGCTTTTGTTCACGAAGAAATATAAATTAATATTTCACGAAATTTTATGAATTGATTAAATTTATCTACTTGATATTAACGGATACATAAGGAGAACCCATCCCAGCATCAGTAACATTACTGTACCTAACTACTCGTTATTAACGTATACATAAAGAGACCCAACCCAACATCAGTAACATTACTGTACTTAAAACTCGATATTAATGTATACATAAGGAAAACCAATTGCAACATCAGTAACATTATTTTCTGTTTTCAACATTTTCACAAATAGCTTTCATTAATTTCAAAATTAAGGAATTGCTTAGCTATTTAAAATTATTTTATATATTGTTAACATACAAAAACATAATATTTATTCGGTTTAGATCTAGATTTGTGCAATAAGAAACAAATATTGATTTTTAGGTTGCTTCTTATTTTCAGGTTCATGTAAGGATAGGTACTTGACTGCATTTGAATAATGTGAAGTACAGCAAACCAGGGAACAACGAAGACGCACAATCTGAAAAAAGATCCACGTTAATTGAACTTTTGCTTTGCGGCCTAGTACGTTAGGCGTTAAAGTGGAAACACTTTACAGATTTTGATTCGACAACCCCGGTCATTTATTGAACTTTAGGACAAAAAGCAGCAGCATCCTTAAGGCCAAAAAGTTACAGAAATTATCATTCTTGCTACCAAATGCCAATATCAATAGCAGCCAATGTATGAGGTAACGCTGGTTCGGAAGCTTTAATAATTTTATGTCTAATAATATACACCTTTAGTTTGCCATGTTATAAACTCGAACATGAGCGTTCTGGCAATTAGTGTTAATCGATTGTTGAATTTACCGATGCAAAAATTTGTATTCATTTTGCACTAAAATTAACATAATATCAATGCATCTCTAAGGTACCCATAATTATACGAACAATAAGGAAAGCATTACTGAAATATACAGTGGATGGACAAAAATATGGAAACACCTTGTCAAATGCATGTTTGAAAAGAAAGATTGATTTTAATGAAATATGTAGGTGGCGCTGGCGTTTTTGACTATTGACGCCACCTATAGAACTTCGTAAATGTGCTAAACAGTTCAGTTGTTGTCGGAGTACTGTTATGTGAGGTTGTCATTGCATTATGTCAGAGTTAACAGACTTCGAACGTGGGAAAATTGTTGGAGCACGTATGGTAGGTGCTTTCGTAAGCAGGGTAGCCGAGGTGTTTAGTGTTTCAAGAGGTACTGTATCGAAGATTTATTCCGCATATTTGAAAAGCGGAAAAACATCATCTGCTAAATCACAGCGCGGACGAAAGTGTGTCCTGAGTGATCGTGACAGACGATCATTAAGGGCAATTGTGACGAAAAATAAGAAGACCACAGCTGCAAAAGTTACTGCTGAAAGGAATGTTGTGTTACCGAACCTTGTGAGTACCAAAACAATTAGAAGGGAGCTTCATAAACAGGGAATTGCTGGCCGTGCTGCTATTGAGAAGCCACTCATCAGTGATGCTAATGCCCGTAACAGGAAAAGGTGGTGTTTAAGTCATAAAGCCTGGACTATAGAGCAGTGGAAGCGAGTAATATGGTCTGACGAGTCTTCTTTCACATTGTTTCCCACTTCTGGCCGAGTTTACGTCTGGTGAACGCCATCTCAAGCCTATAATACAGACTGCTTGTTGCCAAAAGTGAAACATGGCGGGGGTTCTGTTATGGTTTGGGCAGCCATATCGTGGTTCTCTGCTAGCCCCATGATAACTGTGTCAGGGCACATGACTGCCAAGACTTATGCGAACATTTTGGCCGATCAAGTTCATCCCATGGTACAAACTTTGTTCCCCGATGGTGATGGTGTCTTCCAAGACAACAAAGCCCCTGTTCACACAGCTCACATTGTCCAGGACTGGTTTTTTGAGCACGAGGATGAGTTGTCCCATCTTCCCTGGCCACCACAGTCACCAGACCTGAATATTATCGAACTTTTGTGGTCTACATTGGAACGGAATGTGCGTTCTCGTTATCCACCACCAACATCGTTATCTGAACTTGCCACCGTTTTGCAGGAAGAATGGTATAATATTTATTCCCTTGGCAAACATACAGGAACTGTATTTATCCATTCCGAGAAGACTGCAAGCTGGTTTGGGTGCCAACGGGTTTCCTACACCATATTAAGCAAAGAAACATGTTTTTTTAAAGGTGTTTCCATATTTTTGTCCAACCTCTATATGTTACTGTGTAAAACGGAAATTGGAGAATGTTGACTTTCACCGGAGAATATCAACATTCACCAAATACGTCGGTGAAAGACCGAATATTTCACTACATTCTTGTACATTCGGACCCTCACCGGTGTATGTCGACAATCACAGATTTGCTCTGCTAAAAGTCGAAAAGAGAGGTCAAAAAGTGCCATATAGTTTAAGTTGTTGCAATAAATAATATTTGAATCACATAATTTAGTAAGTTTTTAATTACAGATATTTTATTTTCTCATTTAGAACGTACTGTATAATTAATAAGTTTTTAATTTCTATTATTTTCCTTTCTCATTTTGAATATATTGTGTGTTTAAGGTTCTCATGTTCTTAAGTTCTTATTTCAAGTCTCAAAAGCGTTTATTCGCGACTGAATTACGGAGAAGAAAATATATGATTCATATGTTCAACATTCACCATTAGTACATGATGAATGTCGACATTGACAAGTGTAAGTCAAAAATAAGAGTATTTGGAAAATATTTCGGACATACACCAAGAGACTATGTGAATGTTGACATTCACCGGTGAAAGTCGACATTCTCCAGATTTCGGTGTTTCACCGTAACATATATATTTTACATTATAATTATTTCTAAAAATAAGCAAAATTTGGACAAAATATGACTGCATAGACAAAAGGTTTAGTTTATAGGAAATATATATGAGGCAGAATGTAATGTAATGATTATATATCAGATAGATTTTATATATCATTTAATAATTAATTAGGCTTGTTAGTAACACCATTTTATTTCAGAATGATACAAATTACATTCAATTTCTTCAATAACTTGTGATTTGTACGATAGAAAGACGTTTTGCGTTTTATAATCTCATTTAGATCCACTCAAGAATATGTTATTAAATGTATACTCTTTGCGTTAACTTACCAGCTGGTTTCCTTTAGGACCCCATGCGGCGTACTGTATTTTATCTTCAGGATTTTCCATTGGCCACAGATGATAGATTTTTCTGAAAAATTGTATAACTGATTCTAATTGAATGTAATTTAGTCTTAAAATTGAAATATAAACTAAATTTAGGATACATAAACATACAAAATACTAACTAAATTTATGATAAATATACGCACAGATAAAAAAGAAAAATCGTTAGGCATGTTTTAACTCAGTTGATTTCGATAGCAAAAACTTTCGTATTCTTTGTAGATCCTATCCATTAACAAAAATCCTATCTATTATCTAAATTTTGATAACGGTTAGAATACTTGTCTGTATTTAAAGTAGAAATTTCTCTCTTTTAAAATAATTAGTATCATGATTTAATTCAATCTGTAACGGTCGAGTTCAATTAATTTTTGATTCAAATTCGCGATTAAGATATAACAATAAAGTACTTACATCTAGAAATTGTGTTTTCTGAAATCAGAAACCTTGTATGAAATCGGACATTGCAACTGTTGAAACTTAGAGCATTAAAACAGCCTTATATAATAGAATATATAAAATTACAAAAATACAAAAACGTAATATAGATTTATGTTTCTTTACTGCAGTTTATGTTTAGAATCCGCTTTCAATTAGCAAATTCAAAATATTTCAGAAACATAGTTTTTCGAAAATTTCACAGGAGTTAAACATTTTGGTATTTGTATGAATTCGAAAGTTTACGAATTCCCAAGAAGAATGAAACATAGTTTCATTCACAAGCTTATTATTTTCGGAAGCTCTGAGCCCTATTAAATGTTTTATTGTTCATTTAATGATCCTAACAATAAATACAGAAACATAAAGCATTTGAATAAATTTGGATTTGCATAAGTAGTAAAAAGATGCAAAAATGTTTTTACAGATTTACAGTTATTGAGATATATTTCTCTAATGCTAAATTAAAATTAACAATCTCGAAATATGTAGTAAGATTGAAAAATTAACGAAGTTCGTAAGCTTTCTGATGTAGAACACTGAAACCCATCCATCTCGAAGACACCAGCTGCTATAAGGATCTTTAACTCTTTGAGGGGCAGGAAAGGACAATTAACGTTTTTAGCAAAACTCTTTTATTTGCTAAATCAGGAGTTACAATGAAATTATTTGCGACAATTACACATATTTTGCCCAAGACGAGTGAAAAAAATGACCACTTCTGGTGGTTAGTGTCAGTGACCACCGCCCATAGAACACATCCCTACAAATCAGTCTCTATAGTACTCATGGAAACAGTTTTTCTTTTTCAAGCAGAGTGCAACTTTGCATGTGCTACATTCCCACACTGTTCTTACAGGCTATTTCTTCGTGCTGCAGAGTGCCCATCGTCGTGATTTTGTCTTCGATGGCTGTTGTTTATTTTCTTGAAGACGAATTGCTGCATCAACTAATGGCTTATGTTATTTGATTGCCATCTAGTGAGCTACATGGGAACTTCAGAAACGGTCAGTCTTGAAAACCACTCACACGAGTGAGTAAGAAATCAATAGAAATCGTTCAATAGAAAGGGTGGTTACTGTAGGTAACCACCGCCCTTCAAAAAGTTAAAGCATCTTTTAAGTTCATTCATTGAAATGTCTTTCAATTCTACTGGCGTTAAACTCTGTTCTAGTCGATGTACCATCTCAAGAAGAAGTTAATCACATGATGTGAATACAAGTGCAGATGATGATTTTTATAGAAAAGAGATCATCATGGCAATTAAAAAAGAATTAGCAATGAACTGAAGAGTTACTGTGTAAATGGAACCATGATTCTGTGATTTCATAGCTGAAATTCAAGATGAACTGAATTATATTATGCCTTATTATTATGATGCCTTATTATTTCATATTAAAAGAATCCACGGACCAATGGCTATATTATTTTTCTGGATACCTTTTGGTGTGCTGGCCAGTACAATCACAGTAACTTGAGAAAGTTTCTCTTTATTCCGTATCACTGTTTCGCTGTTACATTCACCTTCTCTGGAATTACCGTGAACATAGACGACATTAAAAAAACTTCCAACCGTATAATAATACCCCAAAACATATTTCGACATTTATCAGGTTTGCTTTAGACTACCCAGAATACAATATTTGTATACTGTTCATCAAATGACGTTCTTTAGTAGAGTGGTTTCAAACTAAATTGCAAGTAGTCCGAAAATGCGATCACAAAGTAGCCGGAAAGCCAAAATTGGAATACATTAAAAAGTGGTTTTTCAACAAAATAAATTAAAAATTTTTATTTTCTTTATTAAATATATGTCAAAACATACAGAAACAGTAATAATAGTAATGACAAAAAGGAAAAAAATTCAAATTTATACTTATTTTATAATTGAAATTTAAAAGTTGGTTGGTATCTGCAAGAACTTCTCTCAGATACGCATTTTAAATCAAACGTATTGACAGCTATGTATTAAATTTTCAGACCGCTGACTTTTATTTCAATTAATTCTAGTGTATCGAATTAACCACTAAATAAATCACTTTAATTTCAACTAAAATGCAAGCAAATTGCGAAACATTTTAAAGAGGGACAAAACTTGAAAACGAACAATAAAACATATTTTCTTTCTTTTATTTATTACATTTTTCTTCGACCAATGCAGAAACGATATATCTATTTGTATGTGAATAATCCTAAATTTCTCTTTCTCTTACTGGAACCTTCAGCTTCAACATTTGATGGCGTATCGAATTAGATAAGGCTTCTCAGCCTGGAGAAAAATTATAAGAAACTTTCTTCATTAATAATTAGGGAACTAATCTTCCGTCAATTGCTTCTTTTTTCGATTAGCCTTTTAGTAGGCCAGCCGCCTACAATAGTGTATTAAGCGAAAAAAGTATATAATGATGTTATGAGTCCTACTCGTACAATTTCACGAGTCCAAATATTAATAATAATATTAAAAATATAGAACTGTATTTATTGCTCTTAAATCTCTTGATTTATTGGTCAATAGTGCAGATTCAACCTAATAGATAATTCAATAATTTATGGTGGATGGCAACGCCCTATGCATGAAAAATATTTTATTTTGAGAATGTGGCAACACATTTCTTTTAAATCCTTGAGTTCTATTATTAAATTTGAAGCATAAATAATTGTCATTTTTCTTTTGACAAGTACGAATAAAAGTTACTCTCTGTGTGCCATAATAACAGCAGCAAAGAATATTTAAACGGGAATTATTCGGCGAATGCAGCTATAGTTTATGTTGTAGCCCGAAATTGCGCCGCGTTCAATCAAAATCAATGTTTCATGATATATGCTATTTGTTTTGGGACATTCTTAATTTTTTAGATTAACCTAATTATTAAGAGTTATGATTAATTTCATCTAAGTTTTCTAATTTCATCGGCTGATGGAAATCAATTGTTCAGTTTCAGTTGAATATTAACCCATTGTAAAAGTAGGCTGAAAAAAGACATTCTTCAAGAAAAGATCGAGTTTGCGATTGTCCAGTTTTTGATGCATCAAAACAAAACCGAAAATTTGCAGAAAGGTGCAATTACGTTAGCTTCAAAGCAATTACATTGCAATAGAATGGCCGTATCAAGAACCTGGAAACGTTCTCCTGAAATTAATTATCAAGGTGAATCTTATATTAATGTTGATTTATTGAAAAAATAAATCTGTAGATGTAAATGCAAATATTATGTCAGAAAACGTGAAAAACTTAGACTTATTCTCCTTAGCAGTAGAGGCACCTCGACAGCAGTAAACATAGCCTTTGATAATATATTTCTCTCGATATACTGAATAATACGTCTCTGCCACTTCAACAAGATATGCCGGAAGTAATGAAGAATGAAGACTCCAATAATTTTAAGCCCACGTCATATAGCAAAAGCAAAGCTTCGTAGGAAACGTTCCTACCTTTAAGTTTTAAACGCAGTAACGAAATTATTGAAAGACTAGAAACTACCTGAACACTCCAAATAAAAATTAGGAGTAATAATTTTAATTTATTGTTTTAATTTAATCTAGTTTTGTGATAATAAATGTTGCGTTCTATATTATTTATGTTATTTTGCTGCTATTATTATGGGACAAATTAAATTCATCAACTGCTACTATTATGATAAGACAGAGGGAGAAATGTAATCTGTATCTTGAAATCTTCGAGCAAGATTAATATAAAGGGTGTGAACGAATTAACGTCACTGGTAGGTTTTTAGGTCATTCCAATTCGTTTTTAATGGTAATGAATTGGACTCTAAATCATTTAATAATTTTATTTCAAACTCTTGCCGTACTAATTAATTAAGGAAACATAAAATAGCAGTCACTTAATTATGGTACATTGCATGCTGCTCGTGGGGCGCGAGTTTGAGTCCATTGTTTTAATACATTATGATCACAAAGCAACTGTTTCAGAATACCATTGATATGTTAAGTGTATCATTTAACTTAAATGAATAAAGCTGTTTCTCTCTAGCGACGAGAATATGCTGTAACCCAGGAGACAAATAAAAATTTATATTGCTACTGATTCATCACTGGCTAAGCTGTAATAGTCACCGCACACTGGTAGTTCGGTCCGGGGTTCGATTCGCTGCAAACGGGCTGGCTGCATGGGTGTTTTCGTGGATGTAACGTAGATACGAGACAATTTTCCTTAAAAAGACCTCCATGGGTCATCCTTCCCTTCACGTATAGTGCCTAAAGGCGGAGCACGTGATAAGTAAAAAAAGATACTGCACAGCATTACATTTTCCTATTCAGGCATTACACAAAAATTGAAGCCTCCTAACACTTGACAAAACATTTATACACAGATGAGATTACATAAGCTTACTTACTTGTTCTGGATGTCGTATATTTTGTATCTGGCCTCAAATGAATATTTGTACAACTGAAATAAATATGAAATACATTTAATTATTTTTATAGCAAATACAATCTAAAGATTATGTTCTTGTAATAATACACATGCTATGTTTCAAAAGGTAATCATAATTAGAACTTTTTTGCAATGGAATAATACCTATTCATTACATCTGACCCATTACTTAGAAAGACAAAACTTTTTGTTCATAAGAAACGGATTATTTTCCAAACGTAATATCTGCATTTATATATATATATCGTATATATATATATAAAATAATTCGTAGGGTAATTGAAAAAGAAAATTTTGGTAAAATATAATTAAAATTTTATTTTCTAGCAACAACTGAAAAGAAAAGTAAAATTTCTAAGGAAAATTGAATAAAACCGGAACACATCCGAAACATAAAACGTATTTAGAGAAACAAGAAATAAAATTCCACCTGATTATTTTCACAAAGCAAAAGTTAAAAATAATACATCTATTTTTTGAATAAACATAAAGTAATTAAAAATGGAACACGTTCTGTTAATTAGAAGAATGAAAAAACTTTTTCGAAATAAAAAAACCCGAAAAGTCGAAATTTTAATTTTTATGCAAACCTTTTTTTCTTTACATAGAAAAATATCATGTTTTTTCAGTGATGAAGGAAATAAGTTATTTCTTCATCTATACTTCTATAAGCGCAAAGATTCGTTTTTAAAACATATAATTGAATGCATTTTCAAGCATATTTTCTTTCGAAATTTCTTTAAATATTTATCGTTTTATTAACGAATGCGCTTAACATACTGAAGATGGCGACGAATTAATTTTTCATCATTTCTAATGCATTATAATGTGTACGTTTTTCAATATAACATCTCATTAGAGTATTTTAATAGTTAATATGTTCACACGATACCTAATATCGAGTGAATATTAACATTTAAAATTATAATATTAAAGATAGTCAACTCCTGTAACTGAATATATATGCATGATCTTAATATGGTAATTGAAGAATTGGTTATGAAAATTGCTGAAAAATGCCGCCCACACGGTATAATGGTTAGGGGAGCCTGACTGCGATAAAAATGAGCCCGGATCGAATCCCGGAGAAGGCATGAATATAAAATTGTCTATCCCTTCATAGGAGGTAACGTTCGCCGTAGATGCCTCCACAATAAAATGGTCACCGCTTCTGGCTTTAGTAGTGGCCAATGCCGTTATAGGCAAGTGCCCGCCATTTGTGAAAAAAAATCTAAAAGATTTCAGATTTTAAATTACGTCCAAAGGGGAGTTTTTTTTAAGTTTTTGTATGTTACATTTATTTATTAAATATCATGTACTGTACACTTAAACCATAGAATTCATTTCAATAGCAATATCGCAAAATAATTTTAAAATGAGCATATCTTTAGAATTTTCACAGTTCTGCGGGCTGGAGATAAAAAGGTTTTTTTTTTCCTCCCGTAGAGTTATTGCCATTGGTCGCTTTGAAATCCTTGAGTTTGCTAATCAAAAATTCATTGAAGTGTTACAAAATATGAAATCGATAATAAAACAAATTCCAAATTTCAAATTTGGCCTTCCACATGCCCATATTCATAGGAGGATTACGTCATTCAAAATTCGATGGCTCTATGTACCATTGGTTTATCACAATGCGAGAAATATACGTACATTTATGCAGATTTATCATTATTTAATTTCTTCAAATATAATGCAGGACTCTAACATTTGGTGGCAACAAGTTGAAAAGTGAAATGGACATTTATAGTGATTCAACGCAAAATCGCAAAACGAAAGCAATAGTCCTTCAGGAACAAAGCCCCTTTGGACTAAAAAATTTCTGAAAAATGAACGTAGGTTGTTAAAAGAACTGTATGCTCAAAACGTGACAGTATTTAATAGTTTCGTTTCTATTTTACTGTACATCTTCAGCTTGCCAGCTTGGAAGAACATAGTTTAATTATGAATTTTCTGTTTTTCTGCTAATATAATAAAAATGTTGAGTACAAAAGCAATTTAATGAGTGAATTTTTAAATTATTCCTAGATACGTTACAGGAAAATTCAGTGGAATAAGTAGTTTAAATTATTTAAAAGAAGAATATTGTTTAAATACCTCAAAACTGTTCTCTAAAATGCTATCAGGTATGCATACTTGAGTATAAAGTGAAACTCAATTGTTACCATAATTTTAATACTTTAGAAGTAAATGATGGTATGCTTTAATGATATATGAAAGCTTGATATATACTGAGGAAATTTTAATTTAAACGCATTTGAAACAGAAAATCTATGCTAAACATATCTCGATTAAATGTTAATGATTTTTCAGTTAAAAAGTTTTAAAGGGCGAAGTACAAAACGCATACTTCATTAAAAGTCAGTAAAAGTATTTTCTTTTCCTTTGAAAAAAGGAAGATAAATGATGCTATTTACTTGACTAAACTAAGAACAAAGAGTAGAAGAAAAATAATAGAATAAATCAACATTTCACAAGGAAAAAGACTTGAGGAAACTAGCCATCCAAAAAACTGAATGAAAAGAAATAATTTATTAAATTCTTAACTTTAATTATATTAAAACGTTCACTTCTTGTTTGAAATTTTCCCATATATTCTGCAACAACAGGAGTTCTAAATAATTATCGTTTTGTTTTCTAACTTTAATTAAAACTTTTGTGTATGCTGAATGCAAGTTACAATAATTTGCCTTTTATTCATACTCTAGCATTTAGAAAAACTCAGTTTTCCTACTTTTTCCCTCATACTGTAATATACCGAAATTTCCGATTCAGGCGGATAAAATCTGGTTTTAACTTTGTTCTTGGTATTAATTTAATTAAAATCGCACCAAAGACTGGAAATGATTTGTTCAGGCACATGTAAAGAACGTAGTTTTCATATATATCAATTCAAAATAGTATTAAAATAATAGTACTACGTAAAATGGGAATGTTTCGATGCCATTGGCTTCACAAATTTAGAAAATTCCTCTAACGACTCACCTCATAAGAATAAAGAGAGGAAGAAATAAAGAAAGAATATCAAACTCCGTTCTTTATCATGTTCTGTACCAAAGAATAAAACAGCGATTGTACTGTGTAATGTAAAAATGTAGAATAATCAAATTGTCCGTTAACCCTGTTATAATTCAAGCGCAATTTTTGGAAAAGAGTGTAGAATGTTAGAGAGTTTAGCAGAAATGCTGCTCCTGCGACTGGACGTTTGGAAAGTCTAATCAGTCTCATCATCAAGAGCGTTCCCCGAGGTGCACAACAGGAGGCGGCCGATTTGACACCGTGAGAAAAACAACTTCCGTCCCAATGTTAAAGGCGAACACTCTTGGATGGCTCGAGGATCTTCAACTTCTCTTTATCCACGCTTTTCAATCCACGCTTCCCAAGTAGCACATGACGTAGCAAAGACGTTGCAAACTGGTCCGAGAGGTTGCAGAGTGATCGTGGCAACGTTTTTGCTACGTCATGCGGTACTTGGGTTTCTTGCCAGAATGTCAATAAGGTAACGTGCGTGTATTCGTTGTTGCTTTGCTAATTTTTAATTTTATTATCCTTTAATAATATTGAGAGTGACTGAATCTAAAAAAAGTACTCTTGTCAAAGGGCAGTTTTAAAAGCAGAAATCGAAGCCAAGCGCACAGAAGTGACCAATCATTAAAGCGTTTTCTTTATTCATGATAATTCTCGGCGGTGCATTTCAAATAATGTCAGACAAAAACTTGAGTATGGCTGAGATGTTTTGTGTCACCTCCTCCATATTCACTAGACCTTGCACTCATAGACTTTTCTCTCTTCGCGTCACTTCAAAATTCTTTAAATGGACCGAAATTCACTTCTTTGAAGACTGTCAAATAGCACATCGATGAATTCTTGAAGAAAAATCCTAATGCCGTTTATAAAAAATTGAATTTTTCAGCTCGTGACATATAGCAAAAACGTCACAGAATAAAATGGTGCTCATGTAATTCAATGAACGGTTCGTATGTTTCTGGACTGCTTTCTTTTATTTATCATAAAAAAATCGCAGAACATTTGGATGATTAGACACATTTACATAGTGGCCCACATACCAGGAATACTTGCACAATTTTCCAATAACGATACGTAAATGTGTGTGATAGTCTTTAACTTGAAGATATTATTCCATTGAATCAAATGACATGGAAATTACTCTTATAAAAATTCAGAACAAAATGTTTCCAAAGACGAAATTCCCCATTCATTCACAGGATGGACTGTATGAGAAATACTGAGAATGTGGCAATTTCTTGTAAGCACTTTTTTAGGCAAAAAAATAAACAACGGTGATAAAAATGTACAGTTTTTAGTGATAGTCAGCGAAAATGTCGGCGATAGTGTTCTTTAAATAACAGATTGAATTGATCGTTTGGTTTTATTTGATCTTAAATAACCAACTACTTGATCTAAATGAAACTCTGTATTTAGAGAGTGGATGAACTTGCGTATGTATATGACCGTTAGTTATTTGCAAGTCTTTTTTTACCTTAAATTATCTTAAACCTGGTTTAAATAATGCTAAACCACTTCGGGGATTAGAACCAATAACCACGAGTCTTATTTGAAAATATATGTGTACCTCAATCAGAACAGCAAATGCATTTGCTGGTAATTTTAGTGATATGACGGCTTGTATAGAGAATTCATAATTAATGCATGGAATACAATAAGGTTATTTTCACATGCTTCAATATGCAGAATCAACCGTATCAAATCAAATAAAAGTATATACAGACTGTAAATTTGTTGAAAAACTGAGGAAAGCTTTCGATAAAATACTGAAACTTTTGGAGGTAAAGCAATCCGAAAACAAACTACTAATGCTGTTGTTTACTTAGAGATATATTATGTTTAAAATATAGCATGAGAATTAATGCAAATCAGAACATAGAAATATCTAAATATAGCTACTTGGACACATAATGTTGTTTAGGCAATTCTCCAAAATTCCCAAATTTTTTCAGAAACTTCCTCTTTGACTATTGGAAATTTCATAATTTTACTTGTATACATATATATAGCAGATAATGTTGATTGATATAGTTTCTCTTGAATATGCAAAGTCAGCCGTATTTTAGCAAAACACATCAGCAGTTCAATGTAGCACACTTTCGTTTACCAACATCAAATGATGCTTTTTTAGTATTTGCTCCGAATTAATTGCAAACATAAAACATGCATTAGGAACAAATCATAAATTAAATAACATTTAATTGAAAAAAGTCACAACTTGGAGCTGTACTTACCTGTGTTACGTCATAAAACAAAAGGACATATTTCTGATCAGTTGATATACTGTACTTCATAACCCTGTTTTCTTTCTGGTAGTTTCATTTTATGGGAAATATGAGAAAAAGGGAATTTTATCATCATACATGAAATATGCATTTTAAAAGTCAAATATGCACAGTAATGTTTTTTTTAATAATTCAAGATCAAACAAACAAACTTACGAATATAGAATTATGGATAATTCTTTTGGATGTTTTCATTCGGACAGAGTATATAACAAGATGTCCATCTTTATCTCGAAACTCTAATTGATCATCTAAAAAGAAAAAATAAATAATTTTCAATTTATGTATGCATTTAGATGACGTATACTTGATCGGATCAAAATTTTCACTTGTTATAAACATTGTTAACTATCAATCAAACTTTCAGACTTTTGTCTAGTTATTCCTTTAGAAGAATAAAATTGCAGAATAAAGCATATATATATTATAAATTTAACAAAGAGTACAAGAAATCATTACATCATTTGCTGCATATTAACTAAAGAAGCCTAGATGAATTTGACTGTTAATTTAGTGAAAATTTATTTAAAATTTCGAAATAGCGTCCTCTTCCGGCTTTTGTTCAGTGTTGTCAATAATGTATTATTAAGACTTTACATACTTATTAGAGTAAATATGTTTGAAGAGCGTGCACATAGCGGCAAAATTTGAAAAAAAAAAAAAAAAAAAAGCCTTTTTCCTCGTTCATTCTTGAAAAATCAGCGCTGACAACGATCATACAAGCAAATGATATTGGTATTCAGTTGAAAATTATATTAATCGCATTATCTTATAATTTGATTTATAATTTAACACTATTACTGCTACCTTTCATCAGCGCTCACTCGGATACAATTAGATGCGCGTATAAAGAAGAGAGCACTAGAAAGTTAGGAAAAGTGGTTTGGCAACGACACTAATAGTTGTGTTATTTCCTCCCCCAAAGTTCTGTTAGTTACTTCATACCGGCATTAGCCCTTTCGCTAATCGAGTTGTAGCAATTGTTTCAGAGATAAACCAATGTCTAATGTCAATTACTAGCGTTAGAATATTTTGAATTTTTCTTCCTATTTTATGTTGTCTAATATCCGCAAATAAATACGTAAATTAATTTTTAAGCCGAGCATTTGTTAACTTCAAAATTTTAAATATTAAGTTTATTTAAACCTTCTTCTGAGTTGGAGTTGAATCTACATGAGGGACGATACGTCGCCTACTATACTCACTAAGAACCAAGTTAAGTCAATTAATAAGTGGAACACGGTATTAGCTAGACACTGGTGTTATGGGAAGAATTCTGTTAGTCAGTCAACATCATTTTTGAATTTTTAACTGCTGTTATACTTAACTATTAATTTACATAGTTATCGAGAAAAGAGATGAAAAATAATAGAAAAAATGCAGAAGGAAACTGAAAGGCTGATCTATCAATACATCAATATAAACTCGATTTGTCGAAAAATACTATTCTCACGAGGAAGATATTGAGGTTCAAATCCTGGATTAGACACACAGGTTTACAAGTGCATTTGCGGAGTATAGACATAAAATACGTCTCTCCAAAAGATTCTGTCAACTAGTACAATACCTTAGAAATCCAAACCTAGCAATGATATCTATCGAAACCTTAATGTGAATGAAATGGTGCTAGGGCGTAAAGCCTCAGATAATTCACATCCGTGGTTCTCTCTTGAAACCTCTTCATGATTAACCAGCAGATGATTAGGTCAGTCAGCTTTTAAGAATTCATAAAAACGAGGTTTGTGTTGCATGGTGAAAAATTCCATACTTATGTCAGTTCAAGCAGAAAAATCCAGGTTCCATTTTGTTTACTCTATGTGCATGCAAAGGCATCCCGTGATTCTCCTCAGCCATCCAAATGCCTAACCCTCGTTGATGCCAATGCAGTTGCCAGCCAAAGACTAATCGGTCAAGTTAAAGGAAACTCCATCCCGGAATTGAACTGTGACAGAGCCATATCGACTGTCATGACTTAGGAAAAATCACTTAAAAGGGATGAGGATTTCTGCAGACGGACAGCGTAGTTACACTAACATTTTTGTCCTCATTGCCCAGATGACATCCCACTGTCTCGCCATCATATCTTCAGCTGCCCAGCAATCCAGGCCAGACTGTTTGACATCGGCATTGAAGACCCAGTGGACCTACTTTATACTGATAGAGCTGCCGAGGTTGCAAAACCTGTCTTTGACAGCTTCGAAGCTATATAATTGCACTTTGTCATAGACACGACATCATCATCAATGACGGCATAATTACATTGCCCACTTTTACAAGCGCTTTTCTTCCAGCAAATGTTTTGAGTGTTTTGCATTCATTTCATGCAACGGAATCCTAACTAGTTAAATCCGTTTACGTTTACAAGGGTATAAAGCATTTAAACGTACTTCATCGTTTTCTGTAAAAATACAACCTAACAATTTTAGCAGCTTTCTAAATAAAACGTTTCATTAGTCAGATATTCATTACGCCTTACTAGGTTAAATGCAAAGCATTTCATACCTTTTCTTAAAAAAATGTATAGAAGTATGATTAAAGAACTTTTATAATGTATTTTTGCTCCCTTTTGCGTTGCCTTCATGGTGCAAGTGGATCGCAAGTTCGAGTAGAAATGTACATGAGGAGGGTGTTGCATCTTTTCACGTCTCCAGCATCTGTTATGTCATTTTTTGATTAAAAGCGTAACACATAATATTATTTATCTGAATGTTTAATTGGAAGAACTGGTTTCTAACCGTTCACATATATTTGTAAAAACAAATAAGTTTAGGCAAAGAACATGGGAGAATATGCTAGAAGCAGGAGGGGAAGAACCATTTTAAAGGTTTCCCTTTTTGGGAATGGCCGAATGCCTGATTCCCATCTAATAATGCAAAACCTTTGAGAACGAGAGTTGACTGCCTTTATAAGGAAACAAGCTGGCCCCTTGCTGTAGGAGAATGGCCGTGAACGGAACGCTTTACCTTATTTGGACGTAACGCCAAACCCCGAAGACGCCTCATTTCCCGTCACTTGGGTGCCGAAAAGAGACAGAGGACTTGGACGAACAGACATGGTAATATGAGAAGAGGTGGAGGAGACTACGAAACTACCAGAGGAGAAGAGCCACGGCAAAAAGGGGACAGTTTTTTGAAGGAGGAAGCGGGCCTTGCGATGAAAAGGAGCCTTGATAGCTGAGTCCGAGAAAAAAGGTTTCGCCCATCCCTCGGTTCAAACTAACAGTATTTTTGGGAATCAGTTTACTCTTTTCTAAGATGGGTAGTTTCTGACAGAATGGAATCCTTGCCAAGAAGTTCTGGTTCGCCTTATCATAGACCGACCAGCTCTCCAATACTATTTACGAATGAATTTTCAAATTTAATAAAAAGATTTAACTTCCTTATCTGGATTAGGATCCGCATAACCCGTTCTGTGTTACGGGTAACAATAAGAGCTATCTGTGCTCAAAGACTTTCTTGCATGGAAGTCCATCATCGTAAAATATTACCTTAAGGTATATGTTTATTTCTTATATAATAGTAAGAAATTTAGGCTGATGATTTTTAAAATGATTTTTGAAATTTTGTATGTAACACTGGATATTGTAAAAATTATATATTTTTTACTATTTAAGAGAGAAAATAAATGGTGCTTAAACCATTTTAGTGTTGTACTTATTTCGAAGAACTAAAAGGTATTTCTCCCGCCTTCTTGGCATGCCTTCGTGGTGTGGTGGTCTGCACATCGGCGAAGGCGTTGCTAATTTTTAATCTTGCCTGCTTCCAAAAATATATCTAATGTCTCTAGACTGACACCCGAACTAAAAGGGTGATGGACGATGATTCTCCACACCCAGGAATTGGCGATTGGGTCCCCTAAAACCTCCAATCGCCCTTTAAACCTTTGCGGCACAGTGTGTCCGGCCTGGACACACCTAAAACTTCCTTCTGTACGCACAGAAAAATTGAATGAAAAAGGATTTATATGTTACTATAGGTTACTCTTAACCTTCTTTATTTATATATAGTAGATGGCAGCTCAACGCAAATCAGTCGATATATTTTAGCCTTGTTCAGTTTTTTAAGGCCCTCATTTTTCAAAGAAATCTTTCAGATTTTTTTAGGGTATAAAAGGAATTGTTTGAAAAGGAATTTCTATGCTATTTTTTTGGCTGTATGCTAATCTTCTTATTCTATATTAGTTTTAAATTTTTATCTTGAAATCTAGCCTAAAATCAAACGGCGAACCCTAGGTGTGCCCAGAACGAGCTCACCGATAATCTAGGACAACTGAGAGTCTGTATTCTTTGTTTCTTTGCATCTAGTCGGTCGTGTTCATTGACAACAATGCTCGTTTCAGCACTCTTTTCGAAGCTCTATTTAAATCAGTGTGCCCACTTTGGGCACACCCACAGAATTAAAACGATAAGTGCTATCTTCACAAAAGTTTACTTGTGTACTCCTCTAGGCCTAATTAGACTGCCTACCTTATTTTTTTAATCAAAACTCCGACTTTAAAAGGTAGAGTGTCTAAAAGGGTTAAAAGGGGGATATATAAGGTATTTCTCCCGCCTTCTTGGAATGCCTTCGTGGTGTAGTGATCTGCACACTGGGCGCGTATTCCAGAGTCTGCGGTTCGATTCCCTGCGAAGGGGCTGCTAATTTTTCTTCTTGCCTGCTTCCAAAAATATACCAAATGTCTGTAAAGATCCACTGTTGGGATGTGCGATTTTTTTTAAGTTCTCTATATTTGTATGTACTAACCACTATACGAAAGCTTTCATGATCATTATTTGATTAAATGAATTTATTTTTTTAAAATTTTTAAACAGCAGAAGGTTAATTTTGTATACATAACTTATCGATAAAGCCTAATGACTCTACACATCTTTCATCAAAAGCAAAAGAGCCAATATCAAATTTCAAATCAATATGTCAAGACGAAACTAACATGTTCCGAAACAGGCCGCTTGTATTTTTCAGGTGTTTTGTACGTTTTGTTTAATTTATGTTAGAGGTAGATATGAAAAGATTCAAGTGAATACAATCTTTTTTGAATGTTTCTAGAAATATTGCCTTTAGAAATGTAAACAAAAATTGGATAATTAATGTATTTTGTATATTTCATTCATAAGAGTTTTTATTTTGCGGAAATCATTAGATGGTTTCATCCTAACTTTCCGATAAGAGAAACAGCTTTCAGAAACTTCTGCACATTAATTTAAGGAGTCACATATAGCTGAAAATATACGCACAGTATTAATATTTAAGGA